TTGGTGTCGTTAATTTTGCTGCTTGTTTTATTGACAGTTAATTAACTATGTTGGATTCTAATTTTGTCATTCTTGCTTTTAACAGCACAGAAAATGGCGTAATTTGATGCCTATTTATATTGTTAAATTTCCCTGAAACCATAATTATATAGCTTGGAACATACCAACTTTATGTATATCATTCAAATCTGAAACAGACGGTCGCAGACAGTTTAGTGGGTGAATATGTCAAAGGAATTAATTACTTTTTAAGTGGTTTGTGTTCTTCAGACCTCTCTTTCTCACAGCAGCACGTAAAACAACTGCAAAGACCTTTGCCACAGTCTGCCAGATATGAACAGCAGGGACAACAGTAGCATGCGCAGCAGAAGATCGCAATTGCCGCAGCAATAAGACAAATGGTTGTGATAAGTGGCCACCACCTGATAAAGTGAAAGATCAAAAACAGGTGACTTTAAACTTTCCAAGAGCCCGCCGTATGGTTTAAAGACGAAAATTCAAGTGCTTTCCTGGTCACGACGGCACCGTGAAGAATGTGCTTATGCAATATGAAACGAGTGTTAAAAAACGAATTATTGTCACGACACACCTTCGATTGTAGCAACACTTTTTAGGAGATCCACAACAGTCTACGCTCCAGAAGAATCCACTTCTATCTTCGCACTGTGTGGACCCTAGAATGCAAAAATTTTTGCAAACTTAACTTCTTGAAAAACCCGTTTTGAAACGAATAAAATTGCCTGCACTTTGCATTCATTGTCATTTATTACCTCTTAGACAGATTCTTTTCTTATTTGACCGCAACACTGCTGTAAATGAATTAAGTATTAGCCATACGCAACAAAAAAGTGCAATTTAGGTATTTTCCTAACCTTACATCCTACATATGGAACTGAAAACTCATAATACTGTGGCATGCCTCTTGTGCGCTAACGTAGATTATTGCTTCTTTGTTAGAGACTTAAAATACAACAAAATTGTCATCCATTATTTGAGATGGTTTGTTTGAGTGTTTCAAATGGGAAAGTTATGAAGCCGCCTGAAGACGAATCACTCATTCAAAAATAGTGACAATAGGCACGGATGGCAAGCGTCTTAGTTTACGCCAAGATTGTGCATAGAGTTAGATGTACAAAATTAAGTGCCGTAGTTGCTCACATTGTTAATCGATTGAAATTGGGCTTTACAAAACTAAACATTGGCTGAATGTGGGATTCTGCTATACAGCAGCGTGTAACTCATGGTTGCCTTGGAGTTCCTGTTTACGACGAGGTTATTAGTGCAGAAACAGGTCATTTAAAGTGTGTGCAATTTCATGATTTATAAAAGTGAATGATTTAATATTTAAAATCGCAATCTTAAAGTAACTTAGTCGGGTCTTTGGCTCATACAACTAACCTGCATTTGGCTCAGGTAAAAGTGGCATATGAAATTACAATAATAAGTATAAAGTACTTAGTCATGAAAGTTTTGTAAGAACCGGACTAGTTCTTAAATTTTTATTGTTTTGCTGAGCAATTCCCACTAGTTCGGTTGAACAATTTGTTACTTAATCAAAACAATCACACTCTTTTGCAAAATTAGTTTTTTTTTTCGTTACGGCATTTGAATATTTAGGAATGCCTGAAAAGAATGTACGAGTCTAACTTTCAGAAATGAGCAGGTTGAAGTAACAGATTTAAGTTAACCCAAAAGTTTTTTTCCAACATACCGCACTTTTTGGCCTGTGCACCACAAAGGAGGGCAGCTAGAGCCAGAAGACACATCCAACACAGCCGAAACTCCATGCCTCTCGAGATGCTTAGTAAATGTGAGCTGCAGTAAGCAATGAGATATCGTCACATGCGCTCAGATTCAGATCCAACCGCCTCATTGGCTTTTTCCTCAAACTCCAACCTCTCGCCTAGAAACACCCTCTCATCAACTCACGCTTCTGTGTGCACCTCAGAATGCATGTGTGTAGGTGTGCACAAGTATGTCTTGCAGTGCCAAGTTAGCAAACTCAATATCGTGTTCTCTTCTAGGTGTTAGATAATGATGTGACGAAAACGTCTAGCTTCGCCGATAATTCCTTCTTAGATGTAATTGAGCTGCATTAAGAGGGACAAGTATGCTTCATTACACTCAATTATTCAATTGACCCAGGTGTCGCAACCGTTTCTAAACCTTTCATAATATGTAGTGACAAGGCATTTATGCCTTCATTGAGGTAAATGGGCATTTTTGTCGTTAGTTTGTGGCAGATAATGGCTAGTGTGGCTCTCCACCATAATTGATTCCTTTGAATGATATTCTACTTTGGACTGCCTCGGTACTAAGCGCGAGCCAGTTTTTACGAATTACAATTGTTTATTAATGAATGACATTGTGTTTGTCATCTCCACAGGCAATTTATTCTCTTGCACAGTTTTATCGTAAGCAGGATGGTTATGGTTCGCGCTCTACACGCTAGCTAAATGTCGTCAAAATTAACTGTTGTATTGGTAAGTTAGCAACCACCAGGTACAGACCCCCAATTGAACATCTTGGAAACATTCAGGCTATCAAATCACCTGTCTTACTGCTAAGTAGCCAAGTCTTTCATGACCGTGTCGTGGTGTGCTGCACTTCAAGCGTTTGCAGATTTTGCATCCCCCGGCAGAGGAGGCTTTGTTAGGGTACCTAGACGTCGTGAAAGTGTCTGTCACCTTGAACGATGGTGGATGGATTCCATTGATCCACGATTTACCGGATTTACCACCTGCCACTTGTCTGTAGAAGTATTACTGCAGAAGTGCTCATCTTTTCTGGATGTTTCTAGTACACCTTACCACTAATCAAATGGACTACAAAGCATAGATTTAACGTGTCAGGTTATCGGTGCGGTACCTACTATTATGATGTGTGCTGGTCGGCCAAGCGCACCTGATGGATGTGATTTGAGGTTCTCTGCTCCACGGATTGAGTTCAAATGGATGCCAGACCTACGCTTATTTAAATTTGCACAGTTATCCCTTTATTCTGTAAAGTCAAAAGTTTTACGTACTTCCACTATTTTATCCCCTCCTTGGGATAACTCACTGACACCTGACCAAGAAGGACGGATTCTTCTGCAATAACAGTGTCAGCGGGTGTATTTTAGGTTGGCACCTTGTCATCCTCAGGTGCATATCTAATATCCGGGAGAGTGAGGTCTCCCACCGGTTGAGAGATCAAGGAAAACCGTGTACACGATGAAGCGTTTTTTTTTTCTCATTTGTGTCAAGCAAAGTGGTGCAACAGGTGAGAGTGCGAATTAACTTATTCCAATTTACTCATTTTATCGCAATTTTGTGCCACAAATCTTCAAGCAAAGTAACATGGAGTCCAATGTGTTTACAAATTAGGTCTTGTCACCTAATTGAGTAACAGAAAGTACTGTCATAAACTTGACAGATGCAACATCAAAGTCGCGCAGAGCTGACAAGGTTGACCTTGCTGATCCTATCCTCTCTTGGACCGCTCATACTCCAGCTTTTATCCAAAGCACAAATTCTGCCGTACAAAACCCGAATTTGTAATGTGGCCAGTGGGATACAAATGGTTTTCGTGTCGAACCGGGACGTCGGGATTTGCAAAATTGATTAATAAATTTCAAGGAATACAAATCGCAGTCATTGTTTTGCTTAGTTGCCCACCGCTACATTTATAATTCCATCTCGACAGCTTCAAGATAGAAAGATTTGTAACAACGCCTGACCATTCATCTTTGGTCAAAAGGCCAAAAAATGTCTTATCACTCACCAAACGCTCTCTAGTTGAATTTACGGCTATTTGCGAGGCCAGAGTTGGCCTTAACGAGCTAAATGTTACCAGGAAGAGTTACTGTACTATGGACGAGGTCATCACTGATAGAGATACAGCTATCCTTGCGGAGTTTACAGCATTCAGGTATCTAACCCATGCTACTTGTGACACCGCCACAGACCGTTATAAAAGGCAAAGTGTCCTCTGCAAGACGCTTTAGTCACCTGGTGGTTTGAATGAGGTACATGCTTGAGGAATTGCTTTCTGGTAAGGGTCTTCTATCATTCTCCATGAGGCACCAGCAACGGGGTATGCCTTAACCGAGATTAGGCATGCTAGAAATGAAGATGTAGTTCACCTCAAACTAAGTGAGAGTTAGTTCCTCATTAAACGCGCATTCCATTTGCAAAGGAGCCCCATACTCAGATGAATTTAACCATATTTCGAAGATCGTCTTAAGATTAGCATTCAATTCTGTTGAAGTATAAAGCAAAACTTTCTTTTACATCTTATTGCATTTGATGGCAGTAATAGAAAGCATCGAACTCAATAAATTGCCAGGAGGACTTGTGCCTAAGCTTTGGAGTTTCGGTGGCTTAAAACTGTCTTAAAAAGATCATTTGTTGTGCATTTTTCCTTCCTTCCGGTCCAACGCCCCAAAAGGTCCTCTTCAGGCTCTCCACCTTTCTAACAAATACATTCCACCCATCAACTTCTAATCCATGTGCTCTCCTATTCGTTCCCTATTTTTTTCTGTCAGTTTCTCACCAATTAAATCCTCAGGTAATTTCACATTCCACTTCTTCGCCTACTCGATGTGGTTCGGTGATTCTGTTGTAAGGCCGAAAACTTGCCATGTGGAGGCGAATTGATACCCAAAAATGCTGCATCAAGCCTATCAAATGTGTGCATGGTAATGGTAATACCCACCTCTGGTGGTGTCACCATTGTACTAAAGGAGCTCATTAGTCTAAATGAAGTGTTTGTTTGCAAAAGTTTGAACTAATAAAGTGCCATTAAGCACTCACTCCACCAACTGACTCATTTCATCGGAATTACAACCAAAAAAATTCTTCAAGATGCTGTTAAGCAGAATTGGTTGAGCTTACGATAAGGTGTTCCCTGAATGATTCAGCAAACTCCTTCCACACCTTTTTTTGGTCATAATTTAGGGATTTCTCACGAAGAGTTTCTATCAAATACTACTGATGCCCCTAATTAGGTGACACTTTCTTAGTTTTAGAGTCTAAGAAATAAATCATTGTGCCCTAATTCTATCGAAACTTCTCTGTTACGATAGTTTCAAAGCGGCTATCAACATAGAATACAGTAGGAGGCTAGGACTAGTCAGCTACATTGTATATATACTGTTTTCATATATCCAAAGACAACCATTGACGAACAGGGAAACAAATTCTCCAATGGCAATACCGTGTGGAAAATACTCCTCAATACTCTTCCTCTTCCTCGCCTTCACCTTCCACACTGTCTTGTCCGACCTCCTCGTAGTCTTTTTCCAGAGCTGCTAGGTCTTCACGAGCTTCAGAAAACTCACCCTCCTCCATGCCTTCGCCGACGTACCAGTGGACAAAGCAGCGCTTGGCATACATCAGATCAAATTTATGATCCAGACGAGCCCAGGCCTCAGAAATTGCTGTCGTATTGGAAATCATTGCAAGTGCTCGCTGAACCTTTGCTAGGTCGCCGCCTGGAACCACAGTGGGAGGTTGGTAGTTGATGCCAACCTTAAAACCAGTGGGGCACCAATCGACAAACTGAATGGTTCTCTTGGTCTTGATGGACGCGATTGCTGCATTGACTTCCTTCGGGCCAACATCTCCACGGAAGAGAAGACAGCAGGACATGTACTTTCCGTGGCGTGGGTCGCACTTCACCATCTGATTAGCTGGTTCAAAGCAGGCGTTGGTGATTTCAGCAACGCTGAGCTGTTCGTGGTAGGCCTTCTCAGCCGATATGGTGGGTGCATATGTGACCAGGGGGAAGTGAATTCTTGGATAGGGCACCAGGTTTGTCTGGAATTCAGTCAAGTCCACGTTGAGTGCTCCATCGAATCGTAGGGATGCCGTCATTGAGCTCACGATCTGACCCATGAGTCTGTTTAAGTTGGTATAGGTCGGACGTTCAATGTCTAGATTGCGTCTAAAGAGGAAAAGTTGCATTAAGTCAGCAATCAAAGGTGAATGGTTGCAGATGCGAGATACTTACCTGCAGACGTCATATATGGCTTCGTTGTCGAACATTGCTGCGCAATCCGAGTGTTCAATTGTGGTGTGAGTGCACAGAATCGCATTGTATGGTTCGACTACAGTCGAAGAAATTTGCGGAGCTGGGTAAATGGCAAATTCAAGCTTCGATTTCTTGCCGTAGTCCACACTAAGACGTTCCATTAGAAGAGATGTGAATCCAGAGCCGGTCCCACCTCCGAATGAATGGAAGACGAAAAAGCCCTGAAGACCAGTGCACTGATCAGCCAGTTTTCGAGTACGATCCAGCACTAAATCGACAATCTCCTTGCCAACGGTATAATGACCGCGTGCATAGTTGTTAGCAGCATCTTCCTTGCCAGTAATGAGTTCGTCGGGATGGAAGAGTTGACGATACGTTCCCGTGCGGATTTCATCCACAACAGTGGGTTCCAAGTCGACAAAGAGGGCTCGGGGGACGTGTTTCCCTGCCCCGGTCTCGCTAAAGAACGTCTCATATGAGTCATCACCACCTCCAATGGTCTTGTCACATGGCATCTGACCATCGGGTTGGATTCCGTGCTCAAGACAGTAGAGTTCCCAGCAGGCGTTTCCAATCTGACAACCACCCTGACCAATATGTATGCTGATGCATTCACGCATTGTGTTGAGGTGTTTGTGGAAAAGGCGTCCCAAACGCTGACGGAGCAGGAATGCCTAGGGGTACGAAGGGGAACCGTTAGAGGGGGTTGCCTTTATATACCCTCCCGGTGGCCTTGAATTCTAGCCCTTTTTGGCCAATCGGATAATGCAGGTTGTCATGGTGAGTCACGGGTTTCCGTAAATCTGACCAATGGCCTTTGAAAACTTATCGATTGGTTGGGGGTCTCACGAGCAAATCACGTGATTGGTCACTTGAAGGAGCAAAAACCCAATCTCCTTTTTAGGAAGGAATTATCGGATGCAGGTTCAGTAAAAAAAAATAATTTTGCATGAAGAGGTGATTTTGACACCTCGAAAATAAGGTTTATGCTGACCAACCATGGACATTGTGAGGGCATTTAATGGCGGGGAATTAGTTAAAATATGGATTAAAAAGCGCTTAAAGAAACTACCACATCATTGTCGACCGAAGTGGCAATAATTCAGTCTGGTAATTTAGAAGTGACAATAAAGCCTGTTTTCAAATGACTTGAGAGTTAAGGATTCTCTCACTCGGCCCCTTTAACTACTTTTGCTTGTCAGGAGATTTATCAACTTATAAGTAGGTGGGAAGATGGATCCCTCCAAAGGCCAAAATGTGAACTCGATGAAGTGATGCTACTTCATGACCCAGCAAGACACTTTTGTGAATCACAAATTGGTAGAAGAAGAGAGTGGATATTCTGACTTGTACATCTTAAAGGGAAAAGTAGCTAAAAATGAATCCATAAGAAAGCAATTCGAAGGTCTTCCATGATAACTTCGTAATAAAAGCCGTACTTAAATGTAAAATTCCCTTTTTCCTTATAAAAGCACAATGGTTTAGGTTACCTAGCCTTCTGCAGCTATTCTAACCTATGAGCTATATACTTGGTTTCTTTTTGAGGGGGGAGGGAGGGAGGAGTGATGCCATTTTGCATCCCTTTCTAGATATTCCCTTTACGTGGGAAGCTTTTGTTGTACAATTGATAGATGGGATGTCGAAGCCTTTTTTGTGTACCCATTGCCTTTCACCCCTGTCATATTGATTCAGCTGGGTGTCACGAGGGTCTTAAGGTTCACGTGGCACGTGTCGCTGTCGTTCAAGGTTTTTGCTTATATAAAAGGTTTAAAACGCCCAAAAAGACAAAAGATGCTAATCATAGTTTTCCCAGGGCAACAAGTTTTGCATAAATTAATGAGCCCTTCGTTCCTGTTATTCGGGTAGGTTCGTTACCATGATGTGTATGACTTGAGACGGTTCCTGTTCTTTCCATTTTTTGCCAAAAGACTAATTCCCCAAATTATTGTGACAAAAATTTCTCAAAAAAGAATTGCTAACTGGGCAAACATAGAGGAAATCGCCCCTCCACCTGCTTATTTTATTAACCATTCCTCGGTTATGGGACTCGTGCAACCAAACCACTCGTCCCTGATTCACCTCTCTACTTACCTGTCCACCTTTCATGTGTTATAATCAACAGATATAAGGACAGGTGTGGAGGAATGTTTCGTAGTATTTCGGCTATTATGCTCTTTTCTCCCCCAGTACCAAAACTTTCGATCGGGAAGATTGGTTAGAAGCCATTATTTACTGTGTTAATGCGGAATTTTGCAAGTGACCAGAGATTTATGGGGGAATCAAAGTACTTCTCCTCTCTACGAATCTGCGACGTCTTCTCATTCGCAACGTCGTCTGTTCAATCAGCCCGCCCACCACCAAGAAGGGTGGATTTAAACAAATGAATACTAAAGTATTTCACCATTGCTAGTTTTCGTCAATCCAAATCGTCACTTTGTAGACATGAAAATAATGTAAAATCATGTTTTAAGCACCTCCAACGTCGCCTTTGTTTACTTTTTAATACATTAGCTGCTTGTTTAACTCTCGGCTTTGTTAAAGGAGCCGATTAGGTACCCCGCCATTCCACTTTCTCTAGGCGGCATTGCCTCCGGGCCATGCCTGTAGCCCCAAGCCCCAAGCCCCACTGCATGTTGTTAATGCGCGTTCTGTCCTGGTACTATGCCTTCTTCTTCTTCTTTGATGGCATTAAAATACTCGGGCTATTCAGTCTCCACGGCTTGTATGTTTTGGCAGTAGGTCCACGGCCCCAAGCCTGGTAGAAAAAGAGGAAACTATCCTAATCACTTCATAAAATTGCCAAACCTTATGATTAGGGAGGGAAGGAATCCATTAAAGGTGGTTGGACCTACAGAAACTAAATTTTGGCAGCCAAATCAATTTTTGTGATAAGCGGTAAACAACTAAACCGACACTCAGCTGTTCAATGCAAGATTTATTTTAAGCGTTAAGGCTCCAAGTACTTAAATGAAGATTTGAAAAACATCGTAAGCAAATTTTATGATTTAAATGTCTTAAGTAGTTAGGCCGCATTTAAATGAGAATGATTCGACAAGAATGATTAGACACTGCAAGCCTTGGGAAGCTACCTCAAAGAATTTCGCTATTGAACGCCTTTGCTTTTATGCCAATTTTCCTTATGGATGTCAAGTTGCATATAAATTGCACTCATTATAGAGCGACGTCTAGTTTGAGCAGCGCAAAATCAGTGAAACCTTGCGTTGAAGGATACGGCAACTACGGAACAACAGATACATGAGAATCGACTGCTTACCTGGGTTCAAATGTCCTCTTACTTCATTTGTATTTCTCTATACTCTTTCGAACTGTGAATGCTCTCAATGCACCAGTGCTGTTATAATAACTGAAACAGGCGAATGATCAAGGAAAGCACGTGGAACGACACTAAAGGAGAAAGGTGATGTGTATAATTTTGTATGGCTGTTTACTAAACAACACAAAATATAACCTTTTCAGCGGCACAATCTTTAAACTATGCTTGCAGTTTTTAATCCTTTTTCCAGACTGCCACAGCATATTATTTCTTCAGGAAACGCCTGTATCGTTGAACATTAATCAACGTAAATCATTTGCAACTGACAACGTAAGTGGTAGTGGAAGCAATTATTCTGCGCTTTTAATGATGTAAACAATTTAGCAAAACAAACACTATTAGTGCATGAATTAATTTGTATCTGTGTGTAAATCACTTTAGGAAATTGGTCAACTATTGTCATGGAGCCATAATGTGCCCAAAGCTATAGAGGTTGAGATTTAAACAATAATTGTAATTAGGCTAAAGTTTACAATTGCCTGAATGTCATATTATTAGCGAATTTTTGAAAAGTATCCTTTTGTTTGGTTGTTCCAATTCATACCAATCAGCTGATTAGCTTATTTCGCTCGACTCGCGTTGTTTTTATTTTCCTGAGTTTGGTTAGCCGCTGGATAGACGTAATAAGTATGTAGCTTCGTGAATAAATGTAAAATGCTGATTAGATTGTGCCACTTCTACTTGATTTGTTCCGATAATGTCCTGTAAACATGTGGAGAATTTTCTCGCTGTAAGGACAAATTTCGTAGCGGTGGACGCAATTTTACATTTCGTTGTGTTCCCCATATCTGAAAAGGCAATAAAATATAAAGTACGTATGGTTAGTTGCTTTTGTGACTGATTTGCTCTCCGAAATATTTGTGGATGTAATACGCAGAAAGTGTGAGGTTTGTGCTCACCTGGCTTTGTATACGTTTCGATATCTAATGGGGTAATCTGAAGTGAACTTTTGCAACAACTTCAAAATTCACTTTTTGCTTCTTGCAGTCCTCCCTGTCGTGCTATTATTGTCATGGCTTTCCACTCAATTCTCCAAGAAATGGGCCAATTTCGTTATTGGCATGTGCTCATTGCATTCATTTTTCCTGTTTCACAAATCAACATATTGAAGACCATGTAAGATCCAATCCAGATCATCAAATTTGTGAGTTTGTTCTGCGGGGTTATGCTCTACTTTTCGTTGTTGCAACACTTAAGAAGCATGCCCTCTTAAAACTTCAGCCATTTGTCTCGATCAAGGTGAGCTTTACTGCTCCATTTGCCGCGATTTCGTTTACAGCGAGCGCATTGAGGCGGCTTACAGAAATGCTTTGTCACTGTATGCGAATAAGTTCGGTGAGTGTGTAGCTCGGTATCGCTTCGTCCTTTCAAAATATTTTAAGGTTCTTTTACGTACGTTCTCACCTTTTAGGTCGATCTGAGCGCCCTTGGCGGCCATCCTATAAAGAATTGGAGTATGTTCCTTATTTGAAGTCGGTTTGCCTGCCACCATCAGCTTCACACTCACGGCGTGAGTCTTGTGACGTTTCACTTTTTCTAATCCCGTTGTTTTAATCACCTTCCTTGATGTGTATTTTTTAGAAACGCGAGGCCTCGTTAATATGGGCAACACTTGTTTCCTAAACGTTGTTGTGCAAGCTCTTACACATACTCCAGTTTTGCGTGACTTTTTGCTATCAGACCTTCATCGATGTGACAATCCAACTCGGTCTCGTAATTGTTTAGCCTGCGAAATGATAAGAATCACCCAGGAAGTGCGTTATTTCTAGTCTCAAGCTCATTTCTGTCAGAAAACTTGGGACTTATGAAGTGGCCCTGCGTTTCAGATTTACCGACCCGTTCTAAGTCCTTATGTACCAAGCAATCTCCTACACTCAATCTGGTTGCATGCGCGTCATCTCGCAGGCTACGAACAACGCGATGCTCATGAGTTTCTCATTACCCTTCTCACCCTCATCCATTCACATTTGGTTGGTGAACAGGCACCAAGAGAGGGTTTGTTCCCCGCCTCAGCTTCCGGGCGCTTTCTTTGACTATCACGTTATATCTACTTTTTTTCTTAAGTACAAATATTTTTTAATAGATGATACAGACGAGACTTTGCAACATCATGATGGAAGTTCAACGACCTCCTCGACTAAACGTCGTTGGCATGATAGTGAAAAAATGGTGGCAAGTAACGAGGGAAGTAGGGGTGTCTCCCCTGAGTGCCTCTCCAATTCCTCTCAACACGAAAAAAAATTCAAATCCTCTCCCTCCTCGGTCACCTCTAGCATTACGGGGGAAATGGATGAGCGAAGCGCACCAACTTCGCCTGTTTCAACATCGTCGGATCGCACAGAGATTGTCACCAATGGCAGCAATAATAACAATAGTCGTGGTGCCATTCACACCACCACCGACACCAACTGTGACTGCATTGTTCACCAAGTTTTCTTCGGTGACCTTGAATCAGTCATCTCGTACCGAGGCTGTGATCATCGATCCTCCACGGTGGATCCCTTTTTGGATCTTCCCTTGGACGTTGCTCAGCGAGGCTCCACCTCCTTAGCTGCTTGCCTCTCCTCCTACTTCCGTGCAGAAGCCATAGACGGTCTCCTTTTATGTTCTCAGTGTAACATTAATCGGCCTGCTGTAAAACAGTTTTCCCTCCTCCATCTTCCCACTGTGGTTTGCTTTTATCTAAAGGTTTGGTACTGTGTCTTAAATTTGTAGCCTAGATATAAGCTCTTTAGAACCAGTGCTTTTCCTTCCAGCGATGCCATCACGACACGAAAATCAATACGTCTATCAGCTTTCCTGTGGAGCTGGATCTGACACCATTTGTGGCACAACTTGCTGATCGTCAATCCGCCTGGCATGACAGGTAAGCTGGGAAAGGAAAACTCTCTGTGGGCTGTTTTTGTGATCTTTTCATGATGGTGGTCTTGGTGCCTGTAGGTACTCCTTGTACGCGGTTCTGAATCACAGCGGGCAAACGAATTCAGGCCACTACACAGCGTTCATTCGTTCAGGCCCTGGATGCTGGTGTCTCTGTGATGATCAGAAGATTGTTCCGGTCACTCTGGAGCGTGTTTTGACCACTGATGCGTATGTCCTACTTTACCACAAAAACTTCCTTGCCTCCACTTCCCCTTCGCCAAATACATCCACCAGCAGCGCCACCGCCCCCTCTGGACCTTGAGGTGCAAAGTAAACGATCTTCCGTCTGTGCAATACCTAATGTACTCTCCTCTCCTCATTCCCAATTCGGATGTGTGTAAAAGGTGACAGACCTTGTGCATTTATCCTTCGTAACTGATCAATGGATTATGAACTGACTGCGAATGCTTGCAATTGTCGATAATTTTATGTCTTCTTACCCCCTCCTTCCCTTTATGCCTATCTCGTATGGACTGTTTCGTTTGCCTCACCTCTCTACTTTGTAGCTTCGTTTGCAAATCTCATTCCCCTTTCCAACCCTCTGTGGCCGGTTATGCGTCTGATTTTTTTCTCAACGTTTCTTTCCTGTCCTCATTACTGCTCAATCACGCCTTTTTCGACCAAATTTCTGGGTACTTTTCTGCTTCGAAGCTATTGCATGATTGGACCAATGTTTTTTGAGGTCTCTTGTGCATACTCGAGGTGTCTTGAACCATTCCTCAGCATGTAATAAGGCATGTGCAGAAGACACTGTCGTCAAGATGGCGGTACTGAAGCGCCTGTGCAGTTCAAATACCGTCTTGTGGCACAATCTTCCCCCTTCTCAAGCATCGTCCTCGATGCCTCTTATCGAGCTGGTAACTGCTATAAGTTGATGTCTTGAGACCAGAGGGCATTCAATCTCAATGTCAGTGATGCATCTCTTCCTCAGCTCCGTCCTCTGTCAAAGTGGGGGAGGTGTCGAGACTATTGATTTTTACCCAACAATTATTTGAATTTACTTAAAGTGTACCCATGATCCCATATCTAACCTCTTCCAGTTCATAAACACCACCACCCTTGTCTTAGCTCAGGTTTTCCTCGCGGCTGACTGCGGAGCAGCTGTAATGGCTTCACGGTGGAATCCGAGTTAACACTGTATAAATCTGTTATAAGAGACGTTTTTTGATGAAGCATTCAAGGGCTGCATCCGTATGGCTTACGAGACATGAATTGTAGTAGATTAACATTTAACGACGCCGCACAGCTATTTTCTTTATCATCCTGGCGTCCTATGCCTTCCCTTTCATGTCTTCAGAGTTGACGGATTCGACTTCAAAGAACGATAGGCTCAATTTCATTAGCCAGTTTTAAATTCCAAATGCTACCAAAGAAAGGAGTCTGATGTGGATGGTCGAATCCATGGCGACAACTGACTGGGGGAATATAGAAACTGCGTTGATTTCTGCCAACTTCCTCAGTCTTGAATCCTTCATTTTATCCACTAATGAAGCGATAGTGGGTTTTGAATATTTAAAAGCGCTCCTTAAGGAACTGCCGTGGCCAGAGCAATCTGTGTTGTGACCGAAGAAAGTCTTTAGGCAAATGTTTCCATGGGAGGAAATTTGCACAACAAACGTGCTCGCTGTCGAGGATCGTTCAACCTTTAGCACTACTTTCCAGATAAGTCTTTTCTAATGTACTCAATCTATAAGATTTCAGAATAAAACCACCACCACTGATGAGATGGATAACATCCATCCTTGGATGTAACTGCATTGTTATCTTAACTCTCACCTGGAGGTAAAAGATAATTAATGGAAAGACCTGAATCGGTCGAAGAAGAAGAGTGGCGACATTAATATGAAGGGGGCGATATGATACAACCCAAGCGGCTAGATACTTTGTCTAAGTAAAAGATCTCTTCATTCACCTCAAGTTTTACTCCTGCTTGTTGTCATGGCCTCCCAGTCTCCCAGTTCCTCTATATGTTGATAGGAAATTCTCTTCGAAATTGATGTATCGTGTTTCCACTTCAGAGGGGACCTGAGGTGCTGCGTAGCAATCCGTGGTTCAATTATCTATTTAACTCTGCATGCTTTCCAGTCCCTGCGATTTAGTCACCGGCTTCACCTCGAGCTTTCATAACGACTGTTTCAAACACCTCATCGATGGTCCTGTCGGTACATCTGTGACAATCTTGACCGTAGTGCTTGCAAGCTTTCCCGATCTCCCACCCAGTCAGCCGTTTCCACGATCAAACGCCTGATCCTGGATGTCTGGCTGATGCACAAAAACCACCTGCTGTGTGGTGAAATTGAACAAGAGACCAATCTGTCCGTGGCAAGGGTGAGCACAGAAGTCTGTCCGACGCTGGTATTGCGACAGCATTCAGATTTTCACTAGCACAGTAGACTCGAATCCTGCGTTGATTTGAAGGAGCGGTTTGGGAAGGAACATCAGGATTGCCGTAGTAAGCGATAATGTGGAAAAATAAACATATTTCTACTTAATAAAGCGTATTTTTTTTCTTAAAATAAACTCAAAAGTTCCTTTTTTATTATGATTATCCAAGAGTGGAACTGGCTGGTGCACATCTGATTTCACCCATTGATTACAATAGGTTAACTACTATTGTCATTGTAAGGATCTGGATGGAGCTTCGAATTCACGACCTGTGGGTTAACAGCTAAATGTTTAAATTTCCAATCCCTGGCTACTGTTGTTGTTATATGGTGTACAACAATTGTTCCAGATTTCACAATCAAGGCCTCTGGAATAGCCTTTGAAGACAATACATTACTCCAACTACCCATTTCGTAGGCCACGTTGATGCACATTTAATTACTGGGTTGGCTTATTCATGTGTTTGATGAATCATGTCTTGAGAGCACATTACTCACAACGTGACAACACAAAGGTGACTTGTAAATTGTCTTTAGCCCTGACAACCATCTGTTATCGACAAGATAAAAGGCTTAGAAAGAAAAAGAATCCATTTGTAATATCATGAAGGACATTCTTGAGCACTCTGAGTATTTCATTCTGTTGATGGCTCACTAACCAATCACCGTCCATCTGGGTTATTGATTTTATCAACTCCTATCAGCTGTTTATTATTGTTCGATCGATTAGAAGAATTCAAAATAAGGCTTGACTCCTTGACTTAAACTTTTCCCAAACTTTCCTCATCATGGTTAGTAGTTACTTGTCACATTACTGAATTCACATTGTTATTATTAATCTCTACCGGAATTTAATTTTTTTTAGCGGGAAGTCATAAGTATTCATATCGGTCAGGGCGGTGTGCAGATGGGCAATGCCTGCTGGGAGCTCTATTGCCTAGAGCATGGTATCCAACCGGACGGTCAGATGCCCAGTGACAAGGTTCTGGGTCACAGTGATGATTCATTCAGCACCTTTTTCAACGAAACCGGAGCTGGCAAACACGTCCCACGTGCTGTGATGGTTGACTTGGAACCAACTGTCGTTGGTGAGTGCGAGTTTAACTATTAAAACAAAAAATCCTAAAAAACTTTCCTTTTCGAATAAATTAATCAATTTTAGATGAAATCCGAACTGGGACATACCGTCAGTTGTTCCATCCAAGTGAATTAGTGACCGGGAAAGAGGATGCAGCTAATAACTATGCGCGTGGACACTATACAGTGGGAAAGGAAATGGTCGACCTAATATTGGACAGAATACGGAAGCTGACCGACTGTTGTAGTGGTCTCCAAGGCTTCTTGATCTTCCACTCCTTCGGTGGTGGAACGGGCTCGGGTTTTACTTCCCTCCTGATGGAACGCATCAGTGTTGACTACGGAAAGAAATCTAAGCTCGAGTTTGCAATCTACCCAGCTCCCCAAGTGTCAACTGCGGTCGTTGAACCCTACAACTGCATCCTCTGTACCCATGCCACTCTAGAACATTCGGATTGCGCTTTCATGGTCGACAACGAGGCAATATATGATGTGTGCAGGTAGTGCTGATGTAAACTTTGTTTTGTTTAAAAGGATATTTGTTTTTCATGCATGTTTTCCATCAAAGGCGGAATTTAGATATTGAACGACCCACCTATACAAATCTGAATCGATTGATAGCTCAAATGGTTAGCTCAATCACCGCGTCTTTGCGTTTCGATGGGGCACTCAATGTCGACTTAACCGAGTTTCAAACCAACTTAGTTCCCTACCCTCGTATTCACTTTCCTCTCGCTTCCTATGCTCCTACCGTGTCTGCAGAAAAGGCCTACCATGAACAGTTGACCGTGATTGAAATTACGAATGCCTGCTTTGAACCAGCCAATCAAATGGTAAAGTGCGACCCACGCCATGGAAAGTATATGGCCTGTTGCATGCTCTATCGAGGAGATGTTGTTCCCAAGGATGTAAACGCAGCAATTGCATCAATCAAGTCCAAGAGAACTATCCAGTTTGTCGATTGGTGTCCCACTGGCTTCAAAGTTGGTATTAACTACCAGCCTCCCACGGTGGTTCCAGGTGGTGACCTGGCAAAAGTTCAGCGAGCCGTCTGCATGATGAGTAACACGACAGCGATTGCAGAGCCATGGGCTCGTCTAGACCACAAATTCGACCTAATGTATGCAAAAAGAGCCTTCGTTCATTGGTACGTTGGTGAAGGCATGGAAGAGGGCGAATTTTCGGAGTCTAGAGAGGACATGGCAGCTCTGGAGAAGGACTATGAAGAGGTCGGAACTGACACCTTGGAAGCTGAAGGCGATGAAGAAGAGGAATACTAGGCATTGTTATAAAATTTTTAGCAATTTCTTTATCTCACATTCACTCGTTTTTCACTTTTTTACACTTTGTTTTATATTTGCCCGTCATTTTAATAAACCTGTTTAACAGAGCCCTTTGGTCCCAGAGCATCCCGACTTGGTTTAGCAAAAGGGGGGCGTCAATAGTATACGGGTTTTTTGAATCAGCTCTACAAGCTGTGGATTTAGTATTTTGCTACTTAGGGGATTTAGGCCGCAATCAAGGTAGCACAGTGTTTTCTAATCAGCCATGCAGAATTTAGTTCTTTATTTGTTCAAATTTGGTTGCATGAACATTACCTCTTTCCGGGAGGTGCCGTTGAGAACCCATTCCCAGAATTGATGACGTAGTTTTGGGAAATTCGATTTCATATTTATCAGTGGTGCAAAAGAATAATCGAAATTATATTTGACTTGCTTTTCTAGTAAAATGGGAGGGGTGCGATCCCCCAAAAAAGCGGTTGCTGTAGGCTAGAGTAATCAAATCGAAAGGGGGTAAGACGATTCCACTTTATACCTTCTACACAAAATCTACATCGAATCTAACAATATTTGCAATTTTTTGATATAAATTCGCTAAATCCCCCCAGTTTTAAAAAAAATTCATCCCGCTTTGTTTAGAATTGCAAAAAGTAGTTCCTATCAAGTAATTCATCAAAAATCAATGATTTACTGTTTACAATTGCAGTTTAAAACCAAAATCAATGTCCCCCAATTCGGGAAAATCGATTTTCCCCAATCGCCTTTAAAAGCCTCTGAATTGCGCCAATCAATACATTTGTGCATTGTACATTTGGCTTACCGGATGGTGAGTATGCGTTTGATAGGATTTTTTTTAATTTATCGGTGAATCAGTTTTTCTACCTTTTTTTCCCTCCTCCAGCGTGAGATAATCAGCATTCACATCGGTCAAGGTGGCGTGCAAATGGGCAATGCCTGCTGGGAGCTCTATTGTCTGGAGCACGGTATTCAGCCAGACGGTCAGATGCCGTGCGAAAAGACCATTGGTGGAGGTGATGACTCATTCCAGACCTTCTTTTGTGAAACTGGAGCTGGGAAACACGTGCCCCGCGCGGTTATGGTTGATCTTGAACCTACAGTAGTCGGTAGGTTGCCGCATATGCTTCAGTGTATCTCGCACGTCATGATGGCAAAATTAGCTTTGCACCTTTTAATTGCTATTTTTAGACGAGGTGAGAACGGGAACCTACCGTCAACTGTTTCATCCGGATCAATTGGTTACTGGGAAGGAAGATGCGGCAAATAATTATGCAAGAGGTCACTATACAGTGGGAAAAGAAATGGTTGATATCATTTTGGACCGAGTGAGGAAAATGTCCGACTGCTGTACCGGAATGCAGGGCTTCCTCGTTTTCCACTCCTTTGGTGGAGGTTCAGGTTCTGGATTTACATCTCTCCTGATGGAACGACTCTCCGTTGACTATGGAAAGAAGTCTAAACTCGAATTTGCCATCTATCCAGCACCACAGATCGCTACAGCCGTTGTAGAGCCTTACAACGCTATTCTCTGCACGCACACAACCCTTGAACATTCGGACTGTTGCTTTATGGTTGACAACGAGGCTATTTATGATATCTGCAGGCAAGTTTTAGTGCTATATTTTGGTCAGATTTTTTTCTGTATTAAGGCTAATTATGATAATGCTCATTTTAGACGAAATTTAGACATTGAAAGACCAACATACACCAATCTGAACCGCCTCATAGCGCAAATTGTCAGTTCCATAACAGCCTCTCTGCGATTTGACGGCGCTTTAAATGTAGATTTGACAGAATTCCAGACTAATCTAGTCCCTTACCCACGAATCCACTTTCCCTTAGCCACCTACGCCCCCACAGTCTCGGCTGAGAAGGCATATCATGAACAGCTCAGTGTTCCAGAACTCACCAACGCTTGTTTCGAACCCGCTAACCAATTGGTGAAGTGCGACCCACGCCATGGCAAATACATGGCTTGTTGCATGCTCTATCGTGGAGATGTGATTCCCAAAGATGTGAACGCCTCGATAGCTTGCATAAAGACCAAGAGGACTATCCAATTCGTTGACTGGTGTCCTACCGGTTTCAAGGTTGGTATTAATTACCAACCGCCCACTGTGGTTCCAGGGGGTGATCTGGCAAAGGTTCAACGAGCGCTTTGCATGATCTCCAACACTACAGCAATTGCGGAGGCCTGGGCCCGCCTGGATCACAAATTCGACCTAATGTATGCCAAGAGAGCCTTCATTCACTGGTACGTTGGTGAAGGCATGGAGGAGGGTGAATTTTGCGAGGCTAGAGAAGACACAGCTGCCCTTGAAAAGGACTATGATGAAGTGGGACAGGAAACGATGGAAGGCGAAGGTGAGGGTGAGGAGGACGAGTACTAAGAGGGAAAAAGGAGGAGGAGAGAAGGGGAAGAATGCAGTATTGGCAGTGTACAAACGTCAAACTATAACGACTCAATCCTGTAAAGATACCGTGCAATTCGCGGTCAGTCTCCGCTAAATGTGATTCCTGCGAACGAGGATAATTTGCACAGCATTTATACTCTACTCCATTTTCACACTAATACAATAATCTTAGTTAAAATTTTGACCTTTTTACTTTCCTAACAATACAATTATGCGCGCCTAGAATCATGGCTGCCAACTGATTTGACATCGCTGGTGCCGAAGTCAACTGGTGTTACAAAGATGTCATTAGAATTTATTGGAGCGTCTAATTTCAGCAACAGTAATAATAATGGTACTTAGTCCATGAAACATGATTGATTTCTGCCCAAAATTCGTGCATTACTTCAGTCTATAAACCTTAAGTTCATCTTGTGTTCACAGAATTCCACTTTATCATTTCGGCTTGATAAATACTTCAATGCATTACCTTATAGATGTGATTAAATGGCAATAAGTGGTGGGGAAAATCGAAAATATTTTTCAATTCCGTCCATAGTGTTTTATTAGGCAGAATTATTAGTAATTAAACCTTGGTAGAAATGGGGACCGTCGATGTGGGAAGGGGCACATTTCGAATCAAAAAGCTCCCACGCAATTTACACATAATGTAATCTTTTGTCTTCCTCATATAGTATATTAAATGTTTTTCAATAATGAGAAACGCATTCTGAATAAATTCCACCGTGGCGTTACAGGGCTTCATCTCCATTTGTGTTGCTTCATCTCTGATTCAGGTAAGCATGGAATTTATTACAGCTGCCAAGGTTGACCTTCTAGACGTCGTTATCTCAAACAGTTCCATACGAAAATATCCGGTTCAACAGTTCTGAGAAGGCGGGTGAGGTAATTTTTCACTTAAAAGAAAATACGATAATCGCTCAAGTCAAATCAGAACTTCATGCATGACAGACGTGACAATGAACCCACCGTGCCGATACTACACGCAATTGTAAACTGTCAGTATGTTCCATTGGTAGTGCCTGGATGGTCGACGCATGCCGTGGACATATCCAGACACCGATGAGCAGTACGGTAGGCAGGTGATCAGGCAGAGACAGACAGACAATACATACAGCAAATATCAAGGACAAGCTGTGCACCTCATTGACGAAGTATGCTCAAACATTCAGCAGCAAGACTAACCATTTGAGTGGTGCAAACGCCTCATCGATGGTCCTGTCAGTACGTCAGTGACAATCTTGACCGTAGTGTTTGCAAGCTTGCCCAGTCGACAACCTTGTCAGTCAATCCCATGCTCAAACACTAAAAATTCTTCTCATGCCAGCTTTCCAAGCAGTGCAATTTCAGCTGCGGGATCTGGTCTTCTCTCTTATAAATTAAAAGTCTAGACTTGAACTCTCTTCGTAGTGTCAAACGAATCTGTCAAAATTGAATAGTGCAAGTTGGCCTTGGAAGGGGGTTAAGTACTTGAGGTACATCAGATGGAGTTCGCGAAATCTGTGGTATGAAAGAATATGCCACGTGTAGAATGCCATTTTGTGTAATTACGAACCGCACCCATGTGATGGAAGCATGACTTTTACGTGGACGATGCACACAAAACGATCGATAGCATCTGCCGTCCAAAGAAGGTTCTCTAAGGTGGGTCTGTAAAGAAATCGGAGAAAAAGTCCACGTAGAAGTGCATCCCTTTAAAGCTTCCTCACACCGTCAGTACTAGGAGGGGGTTTTCACCAACGCCACAACGCAATGCGTGAATGCATTAGCATCCACATTGGTCAAGGCGGTTGCCAGATCGGAAATGCATGCTGGGAACTCTACTGCCTAGAGCACGGAATTCAACCCGATGGTCAGAAGCCTAGCGACAAAAGCATGGGTTGCGGAGACGACTCTTTTGAGACATTTTTTCTTGAAACCGGTGCAGGCAAACATGTGCCACGAGCAATTTTTGTCGATCTGGAACCGACTGTGGTGGACGAAATTCGCACTGGAACGTACCGCCAACTATTCCATCCAGACGTGCTGATAACAGGAAAGGAGGACGCAGCTAACAACTACGCACGTGGACACTACTCGGTGGGGAAGGAGATTGTCGACTTGGTGTTGGATAGAGCTCGAAAACTGGCCGATCAATGCACTGGCTTACAGGGGTTTTTTGTATTCCATGCCTTTGGTGGTGGCACAGGATCGGGATTCAATGCCCTCATGATGGAACGCTTAAGTGTCGACTACGGAAAAAAGACAAAAGTTGAATTTTCTATCTTTCCTGCTCCTCAGATTTCAACCGCCGTGGTGGAACCCTATAACGCCATCCTTTGCACGCATTCAACCCTGGAGCACTCCGATTGTTCCTTCACATACGATAACGAAGCGATTTATGACATCTGTCGGTAAGATTCAAGCTTTGCTTTTACAAAATCGCGTAATTTCACGCTGATCGCAAAGAAACGCGTGTATATCTCTTCTTTAGAAGAAATCTCGACATTGAACGGCCGACTTACACGAACTTGAATAGACTGTTGGCTCAAGTAGTCAGTTCAATCACCGCCTCCTTGCGTTTCGACGGCGCGTTAAATGTGGACCTGACTGAATTCCAAACGAACCTAGTGCCCTATCCAAGAATTCACTTTCCCCTGGTCACGTATGCACCCACGGTGTCAGCCGAAAAGGCCTATCACGAACAATTAACTGTGATGGAAATAACCTACGCTTCTTTTGATCCAGCTAACCAGATGGTTAAATGCGACCCTCGTCATGGAAAATACATGTCCTGTTGCATGCTCTATCGGGGAGATGTAGCTCCGAAGGATGTTAATGCTTCGATTGCCTCCATAAAGACTAGGCGAACCATCCAGTTTGTCGATTGGTGTCCTACCGGTTTCAAGGTTGGCATCAACTACCAGCCTCCCACCGTGGTTCCAGGGGGTGACCTAGCAAAGGTTCAACGCGCCTTGTGTTCCATTTGCAACACG